TGAAGCACTGCCACCACCAGGGAACCCAACTTCCTCAGCAGTATGCTGTTCTGGAAGTCCATTACCTGGCAATGAGCAGATTTAAGATCCAGTACTCAGAGGTAGTGCAGAGGCATTAGACACAGAAGAGCCAGTACCGACCTGCCTGCTCTAGAAACACACAGGTAGCACCAACCTCCAAAACTGGGGCAAAGCAACCAGATCTCTGCTCACAGAGATGTAATCAACACTGTAATTAGGGGAGGGAGAGAGAGAGGGAGAGATTTGCTTCTTGTTTGGACAATACAGAGCCTACCACACCTGTTATAGATCAGTGACGCAGATCTGATGACGTTTCTTTAATCTGCCACTTTTCCGTAGCTAACCTTAAAAAAAAAAAAAAAGCACTGCAAAAGGTCAGGTAAACCATTAAACTTCAGGTGAGCCATTGTCACTGAGGTGGCACAGTCACAGAATATCAGCACTTCACAGTCCCAGATGAAATGAGCTTTTCTGTCTCAGTTACAGAAAATACCACTCATTAAATGGACATTGTCATAACGGTGGGAGCCCTTCTGTTTCTGTTTCTGTCTGCCTGGAGGATTTGCAGACGCAGCTGAGGTTTGTAATGTACAGGCTCCTTGTTCACAGCCTGTTTAAAACAATGCTCGTGGTGCAGAACACCATCACCTCCAAATCCCACAGCCACCAGCAATAACACCACCTCCTACACATCTCCTCAGGAATCACAGTACCAGAGAAACAACACTGCAAATGTGAGAGGCTCCAACAACACAAATCTCAACTTTTGCAACTTGAGAAATCACGAAAAAGTCATGAAAAAAATCCCTAATGATGCAGGCACGCTGTTCTTTCTAGCTGACATACCTAAGCAACAAATTGCTGCTACAGGCAGTGGAGCACTGATCTTATCACTCCTGGCAATGTTCATTCTGCACCCAACCTTCCTCTCCACTTCATTGTTTTCAAGTATTTTTCCCCTCCACTTTATGTGACCTGCCAGCTGTGCCAGTTCCCTTGTGAAGTGACCACACGTACACCAACCCAAAAGCTAAAATAACTCACATTAAAAGCAGTAAGAGTGATTTGGGATAGTGCCCATGCACATTTTCATCACTGCAATTCACTAGGTGCTAGTTCCAATAAACATTACATTTTCTACCCTCCTAAAACAATGCTGAAAAAGGAAAAAAAAAGAAGTAATAACTGTGGGATTAGAGTTTATACAAGAAAACAACCATGCTGCAACACCAGACACTGGTGAGCTGGCAAGTGAGCTGTGCTCAGATTAGTGAGCTACATAATAGTGGTGTTTTGTTAAATTAAAAAAAAAAAAAAAAAGCTACGATTTTTATTTAGTTGTTCCAGGCAAACATTAATTCAGATAATAATTTTCTCATGTATGTCCTATTATAACACTACAGACATTCCCTCCCTCACAAAATTCTGTGCAAAGTTATTAATACATTTTCACCTAGCCCAACAACAAATAGAATTATCCATTATAAGCCCAGTCATTCACTGGAGTGAAAAGTATAACACTACATGGGATACATTTTTGGGTAGAAAATAGGGGGACAAGTACTTGTTCTGCTTTTCCCTGAATCAAGAAGAATGAGTTTGCTTAAAAGATTTATTTTTTAATTAGTAGATGCAGGCACAACTGCAAATCTAAGTGGCAGAAAGCAAGCAGTCTCTCCTATTAGCTCTTCCAAAATTATTTTATCTCAGACTGAAGCTGCTCTCCATCTCAGACTTCCAGAAGTTTGGACAACTGCAAAGTGCTCTGGAGTTCATGACCCAGCCCACACATTTGAGGACTCACAAGGTATCCAAGGAGAGGAAAGAACGGCAACTCTTTTCCCTTATTAAAAAATGCAAGAAATCATTTATTTTCCACAGTTAGCAGAAACTGTTAGCAGAAATATTTCTGTTAGCAGAAATCCTTGCTGAAGAAGCAAAGGCCTTTATCCTCCACAGCTGAGGGAACCTTCCAAGTGTTTTTCTGCTCTGACTTTTCCCATAAGGGCAGGTCCCTGTTAAGAAGCTCGAGTTGTCTCTTCCTTGTCAAACAGGGGTAAAAATGCCATGGAAACCCCTCCTGAGGTCACAACAGCAACATCATAGGGAAAAGGCTTCAGTCCCTAGCAGGAGGGTGACAATCTTTAGGGACAACACATTTACATGCTGGATATCAAGCTCTTATTATTATTTATAAATCTAAATATAGTTAACAATAGATAATAGATAATTATATATTAGATATTATTATAATATATAGTATTATATATTATATTATGCAATACATAATATTGTATATAATATATAATATTATGCAATTTATATAGTCTATATACCATTCACATATCAGGATATTTATTAGAGACGGTAACTTCCTCAGTATTTGTCAAAAAAACCCCAAAGAAACAAAAAACCAAACCAAACAACTCATAAATCAAATACAATAAAATATTTCTACTCCTCATGCTGTAACGCTTACTATTACTTAGTCAATGTAAAGTTTGTTCCAAAGCAAAAGAGTGAAGGAGGACACTTTAAACCCAGCAGCAAAGAATCTCGTTCAATAAATGCAAGAGGTTACTGCCACCAAAAGGAAAACAGTGGGATTACTCCACATGGAAAGGAACTATCACCGATGGACCAATACTGGAAATTAAACTTATGTAAGAAGCAGACAAATTTAGTGTTTTAATCAGGATGAAATAACCTTTGAAAAACCCAAAAAAGCTGGGGGTGAGAATTCACACAAGCTGCTCTCGCCCAGCTTCTCAATGCTTTCCCAGCCTTAAGGGACAGGAGGCTGGGAAGGATGAAGGCAGAGGGCAAAAAACAATGAACAGAACACTGAAATCATATGGCTCTCCAGGGCCAGCCTTCCTAGGGCTTTGTCCTGCCTTCCAGGACACTCCACACAAGAAATTAGATTTTTTTAAAAGTACATTTAATAAAGAAACATGATTTCACTACAAAATAAATGCAGCATTTTAGAAAGAGGTCAGCTGCTTCATGCATATTCAGCAGATGGATGGGCAGCAAAGGAAACAGGTGGAAGAAGTAGATAATAATGACATCTTTTATAAACATAAACACAGCACTACTCTCTGTATAATCCAGGGGGAGAAAAATCTAATTTTTTTATTGCTACAGTAAATATGATAGATTTTTTATTCATCCCCATGCTTTGCACAGGTGGAATGCAGAAAGGTACTGGGAAGTCCTTCACCTTGTTTAAGCTCACATCCAGTGAAAGCAAGAGGTTGATTTATGGTCCAGATCCATGTTTACTGCTTAGAAGACACCAACTACTACACCAATTAAGTCAAGGGGCAATCAATCTCTCTGCTTCTGGACTTTGTCATCCTGCTGTTGGCTCCCCTTCCTCCACCACCCAGAGGAAGAAGGAAAAAAAAAAACCACAAAAAGGTAACAAAGACATAATTTTTTCCCCCAGCTTTTGTAATTTTCACAATCAAGTATCAAAACTGGAATCAATAAGCTCAGAAATTCACATGGCAATTGACAAGGAAGGGAAAAGGCAGATCTTGCAGTAAGTTTTGCTTCTTCAGGTGCTGAGGAGACACCAGCACCCAAGAGGTGCATCCAAAGACCAAGATGCTGTAAGCAGAGAGGATCACTTTTGGAGTTTGCTGCTATCAGCAAATACAGTGCTACACAAAAACCCTCCAGGTTTCAAGTCAGAGAGATACCAAAAGAGGAAGATAATTTTAAGCCTCCCTACTTCCAAAGCACAGTCCCAACATCAACCTTCCCCCCAAAACTGGCAGGTGTGAAGGAAAGAGGGACCAGAGCGACCAGAAGGCCAAGGGGCTCTTTTAGGATGCTCTAGGGCACAGATCCTATAAGGATCCTTACAACTTAGGTGTCACTTCCTTTAAGTTACCCACTAGAAAAAAGCCCACAGAGCCCTGAAGGAATCCGTTTTTAGGATTCAGGAGCAGAATTTTTTAGGATTCAGAGGCCTGGGCGATGCCGCCCAATGCAGGCTTCTCGGGGCACTACATGAATCTGATCATTAAATAAACGACAAAATCTTCATAAAGGCAGAAAGCGAGTGACATCATCCTCACCAAATTCCAAATCTCTCAATAACAAGTTTTAACTAAACTACCGACCACGTTTATAAATCTGGCCAATCCAAGCGTGCATTTACCCACAAGGTGGCAGTGGCTATGCAAGGATTTAGCACCTGGAGGCTCCCTGAGCCACACACAGCTCTCGGGAGCTACACAACGCTCTTCACTTTGAACGGAGACCAAAAGGCTTCATTACGGGGAAGAATATCTTCTCTCTCGCACAAAAAGCAAAATCTGTTGACTCAGTAAACTGGCTTGCCTCATAATTAGTGGCGCTTTTCTTTTCCTTACAAGAAAACTGCAGTTCTTCTCAGAAAGGAACAGGTTCGTGCTCCCACGAGCACAGACCGCAGATGTGCCGCCCGCCCCTGCACAGCGGGGGCCCGAGGGACTCCGGCTCCTGAGGCACGGGACCGCGGGAGGAGCGGAGTGTTAGGGGACCCAGCACAAGAACCACGGAGCCCAGCTCCCGGCCCTGCACAGCCGCATCCCCGGGAGCCACACCTTGCGCTGGAGAGAATTGTCCAAGCGCTTCCTGAGCTCTGCCAGGCTGCTGCTGAGCGCACTGCCCGCGGAGCCTGCTCAGTGCCCAGCCCCGCTCCGGGTGAAGAACCTTTTCCTGATATCCAACTAACCCTCCCAGGACACAGCTTCAGGCCGCTCCCTCGGGTCTGTCCCGGCTGTGCCCGCTCGGGGATGGAGCCGGAGATGTCACCGCGGGCTGGGCAGGGCAGGGCACGGGGCAGGGCAGTGCTCTGGGCCCGGCACCCAGACCCCCCGGAGGAGGGGGATGCCGGACACCGGCGGGAGTGCGGCCGACGGAGCGGCTTCTCCCAGACCGCGGTCCCTTCCCCCCGCAGCGTCCCGGGCCCGCGCCGCCGGTACCTGCAGGAGGCCGCCCATCTTGGCGCGCAGAGCGCGGAACTCCTCCGGCGGCGCCTCGGGGTAGAGCTGGGCACGCAGCAGCTCCTCGGTGATGCCCGCGGTGCCGTGGAAGGCGGCCTGGGCGATGCCGCTCAGCAGCGCGCTCAGCGGCCTGGAGCCCTCGGGCGGCGGCGGCGGCGGCTCGGGCGCCGCCATGGCGGGCAGGGCGCGTCCGCGGTACGGCGGCCGCGCGGGGCCAGAAACGCTCCCCAAGCAAGCTCCAACGACATTATGCAGACCCCAACAGCAAGCAGCTGAGTGGGCACAATAAATATCCGCTTTCTGAACTGCTTTTTTCATGGAAAATACTCCACTACTCATGTATTTTAAGGAAACGTCCACAGGCTTTGCCCTCTATCCTTTGCTGAAAGATGCAGGGTTGACCATTAAAGACGGGGCCAGTTAAAACAAAGGTACTAATAAAGAGCAAGTGTTTTCTCTGTGCATCATTTTATACAAGTTTCAATATAAAGAAAGCATTAAAATGCTTTGTCTATACAGACACACTGTCACAAAAGAGACTGTGTGCTCTCCTACATTAAGTTTTCTTTGCTAATACAACAATAATACAGTGATATTATTTACTTCCTGATTTCAGTCATTGAAACCCTTCATAGTTGCACTTTCTTATGACATAAAAGAAAAACCATGTTGCTTACAAAGAGAAAATATGAGTTTATGATCATCTTGACCTGTTCTGCCTTCCTCTTTCTTCGGTTTTGTAGGTAGAGAACAGGCAAAGAACAAGTTGTCCTTGCATGAGGGGGAGTACATCTTGAAGCTGGAGGTACAGGAAGAAATAACAGCAAGCACATCTAAAATTTCTTCCACTGTCTCCATTCATTTAGACAGTATTTTAAATGTCCTCTTCAGCCAGTGGTATTGGGATTAAACAACATCTTTAGAAACTTTAAAGCATCTGGAGATAGAGGAATTTCTTTCAATCACTAGAAATGAATATATAGGATGAGAAACTTAACTCCATTTGGGTACAGACTCCTCACAGCACCGCTGACCTTTCTCAAAAACCCAGAGTACAGTTCATCATTGCTCATCTTTAAAAAGAAAAGGGAGCAGGGTAGGAACTCTTCATGGCTTATCAGTTTCACCCATGGAATATAAAGCAAAATTTCTCTCTGCTTTGAATTTCTGAAGACACTGTCCCTCGATGACATGCTTCCTCTTCTGCTGCAGCCTGAGGTGAGTCATTAGGTCCTAATGAGCACTGCTGGTTTACTGACTTGGGCTGAGGTACAAACTTGCTCTTGTAATTGCTTTTTCTTCTCAGATTCCAGGGTGCTCAGTGCCTTGCATGAATGTGGCAAAACAAATCTGGTGCCAAGTGCGTGTCTTGACTTCAAAACCAGCATAAAATTACTCACAATGCACATGGCAGCAGCAAGTAACCCGTGTTTTTAAGAATTATTTATTTGTTTTTGTAAACAACTTCATTTTTCAAGAAATTAAAAATACATCAAAAAGTCTGTCTCTACATATATACACAGTACATGTTCAAATTTCACTTCATTGTGATGCCATGGTTTAAGCAGAAAAACAAAGAGTGCTTTGATCCAAAACTCAGCTGCAATACCACCACCTCTGGGGGCACAGCACCTTCCTGCCTTTCCAGGAACACTTCCCCTTTTATCACCCAGACCACTTCACTTGTTCTTGATCACCTGGACAGTTTTCCTGCCATAGTGGTAATAGCTGTAGGCAGATGTCACCGTTGTGAAAGCTGTGATGCACCTTTGGGGAAAAGAGTTCCTCTAAGTCATGGGGGTCTCTGGACAATATAAAAAGTGCCTTTTTAAAATTTTTTACCATCTGTTTTTAACTACACAGTCAGGAACTATGCTCCATAAAAATGCAGCTTACAGTTTATAAGCTAAAATTCAGTGCTATGGGGAGGATTAGATAAACAAAGGCTCTGTCATGCAGGGGTAAGCAGCATGCTTCAGTGTAACTGCATACCAGGACAAATTATCACCACACCAGCACTTGCTTTAGAGAAGGGAAAATAAAAGATTCAGCATTTACAGCCTACATCACTTCTACCAGCTTGAGAATTGACAGATGTGAGAAACTATTCCTTGGTAGTGTGAGCCGGGAACATTCAAACCACTCAAGACTCGAACTTACCATTTTCACCAAGTCCCAAAGCTAAAGAACAAGTTCCTGCTTCAGCCTCTTTTGTTTCCCTCCCAGACCACAGATATCCCTAAATGAGCAGTGCTCCTCTGGCTGAAAGGCTGACACCACCCCTGAGGTGGGAATCCCTGCTGCAGCCCTGCCTGTCCCTCTGCTCCCCGCTGCCCTCCCTGAGCACTCTGCCAGGGAGTGTCTGAGAGTATCCACAGAACACCCTGGCAAATTATACCCAGAGGCAACTTGAGATTTTGTCTTACCACCAGGATAAAAAAACCACAGACTGTTAAGATCAAGGTTCATTCATAGCTCCTTAAACACTTCATGGTTTGGGTTGGTGGTTTTGGTTTCTTTGGTTTGGTTGTTTTTTTTATTTCCCTAGAAGACAAGTAACACTGGATTTTGCACTACTTTAAGTTACTAAGTAATTCTAACATCTGCTGTTCAGAACTCTTTGTTCTGAACTCTTGCCAAACAGCTCAGGAAAAATAACTACACTCACAACAGCTGCAGCCAGCTGCAGCTCAGACTCAGTTCAGAGCTCCAGTGACAGCAGAAGGAACAGCATTTCTTAAGGAGGGAAGCTCCTTTATGCCTGTTCTCATCCCATTCCTCTCCTTCCCTCCTAAAGTCTAGCAGGAATCACCATTTCTCCATGTGCTTTTCAAACAGGCTGCAGGAACCTGGATTTCAAGACAGCAGATACAGTATAAAGCAAAAATATGAATGGTATTATTACTGATCCCAAGGGTGCTTATTCAAGGACACTTCTGGCATGAATAAATGAGGAATCCATGCAGCCTTTCTTCCTCCTTTTTTCTCCACTCTCTTATGTTTTGCCTGTATATACCATGCCTACCCCAAAGACTTGTTTCTAAGCTATTATTCCTGGATCTTAACTAGTTTCATTAAGTACCAATAAATATCTAGCTCTGGTGTCATTTAAGACTAAAGGTGTAAAAATTCAGGCATATGGGCCTATTGCATCTTCTGGGCATAGTTTTTTTGTTCCACACAAATTAATTTCGATTACCAGTTTCTTTAGGAGCACATTAAATTATCTGGGAAAAAAAATGTAAGATATTAGTTACCATAATGTCTGCAGATATATGCTGTCCACATAATTGAAAACAGGTGCTGCTAAAGAAGCCGCCACCAAAATCAGCTGAACTGCTGTGTTCATCTGAGAAAAGCAGAACAGGAACTGTGAGCAACGGGAAGAGGTACCAGCAACACCAACATACACTTTTATTACTGCTTTAAGGATTAGTTTACATAAAGAAAATTTATTTAGAAACCTTATTAAAATAAAGCATCTTACTCTCTCCAAAATAGCACGTGCTCTGACAGAGTACAGTTGAAAACCTTTCAGGATCTAGGTATAGTTGGCACTATTTTGAAACTGTACTCAGCAGTAGTGGTAAATTATCCCCACCCTCCAAACCACACAATGCTCCAAGTACCCAGGAGTTATTTTCTAACGAGTTATTGCTCTTACCTTGCTGATGAATGTTGGTTTTAATTGTGCAGTAGCATAACAGGGGTTAAAATACCTACTCAGTGTTCTCTGTTGGGGGAGAAAAGAGGAAAAAAATTGCAGCTCTTGTAAATTCAGTCTGATTTACCTGTTCACATGATAAAGAAAAGCACTGAAGAATTACACTGCTCTTTGTAAGATTGATTATTACACATCATACACAGGAAAAAAGTTATCAGTATTTCTGACTTATCTTTACAAACCACATTTTACAAAACACTGCTCTGCTCAGAAATCTGTTTAGCAAAAGAACAAGCATTACCTCTTGTAACCATTGAGTCTCAAGATGACAAATCTCTTGGTCACAATTTTGCTGTTAATTAAGCTTGTTAATGTATTTTCTGTTATGATGACACATTTTCAATGCTGTGCACTCACCGGTGGAGAAAGAGTTTTGTATCGCACGTAAAAAACGGCGGCAATGAGCGCCGCATCCCGCAGGATAATCATGGAAGTCAGGGGAACTGCAAGATCAAGGCAACACCAGCCAGTGAAAAACTGTCCATGATTAAAGGTAAAACACAACCAAAAGAGCAGAAAATTAGAAGTGAGACAAAATAGCCACACCCAAATTCTCTTGAACGAGTTCTATGCATTACTGAGGATGTTTAACACAACTCCTGAAAGGGTTTAAGCTGAAGTCTTTAAACAATCCAGTCCATGAAAAACAACTTTACAGAGCTACTATTACTGCTTTAAAGAGCACCTAAAAATGGCAGTACATGCCATTTTGTATGTGGCAGCACTTGCTTTCTGCGCGGTCCCTTTGGAAGTGTTTAATGGGAGCAAAGAGCAACCAGCAAAGCAAGCGTTTCGAGAGATACAGTTTTCCTTCTAGAAACACAAGAAACGTTGCTACACATAAACTGACCTTCTCTACCTTATCTAGAGCACACAACTGACATTGCCTCACCTGGGATAAGATTTGCACAAGTTAGGCTCACGTAGAGCACGCTGATGAGGATTTTATCCGCCAGGGGATCGAGAGCACTTCCCAGTGCTGATTTCTGATTAGCCCAGTTCCGTGCAATAAATCCGTCCAACTGGGAAAACCAAAATTCAATAGCTCTCTGTTAGAAGAGTATGAACCGAAACAGCCTATGTATGCTACTTTAGAGAGGTATTTAATGAATGACATCAGGTAAAACAGCGAGTTTAACTAGGATAAAATGTGATACCTCTTAGCTGATACTTGTATCATTTAACAGACCACCAGGTGCACAAGCACTGAGCGGTCAATGCCCACCCGGGGCTGGTCAGGGATCCCTGACATTCCCCCTTCCTCCAATAGCATTAAGTCCCTTTCAGGCACCTGCAAATCCCCTTTGCAGCACCACAAAGGATAGATACAGCATCCCTAGAAACCAACAAATATAAAAACAAATGTTTTGTCCATTTGTCTAAAAACAAATGTTGTTTCCATTCTACACCGGAGTCTGTTCCAATGCATGCCCACGGGATCCCCGTGAGCCCAGTGTTCCCAAAGCCTTCCCAAACTCATGCAGACATACCAGGTCTGTCACGCCAGCCAGGACAAAGACACCGAGTGCGACGTTGAAATTCTCTTCAACAATCAAATAGCCTAAAACTGGCGCCAGACCCATTCTCGCCATGGACAGGATATTTGGGATGGTCCAGGGGTTTTCATACTGTAAAGCAAGAAATTAAAAACCTTCAGGGCAGGAACTCAATCCCCGCATTGGCACGTAACAGAGTTTTAATCGCGACAAATACTTTTTCCACTTAACTAGCCAGAAAGCCTGGAAAGTTCTCGGAAGCAGCCTGCTGCTTTCGCAAGGCACACGGCCTCGACCTGCTAAACATTAACTTCGCCTTCGACAGGAAAACACCTCGCCGCGAGGGCCCCCATGGCGAGTCCGCCTCGGGGTGTCGCCTGCGACACCTGTTTGCCCGCCCTGTCCCCGCTGTCCCTCACGTACCAGCTCGGCGTAGGGCCCCGCCGCGCCGCGCTCCCGCCGGGGCTCGGGCGGGGCGGCCCCGCCGCTCAGGAGGCGCCAGGCGGCGGC